GCTTTTACATGAATTCATCAAAAATTAGCCATCTCTTTTCAACCAAAAGTTATACATCAATGAAGTCACTGAAAACATGATTTTCACTATTTTGATAATTTTGAAGAGCTGCCATTTCTAAACTTCTCGATGAATTTCGCTCATCTTCGAACTCATTCAAGGTTATTATCCAAAAAATATGTGTAACAAATTTCATCTAGATCCGTCAAGAACTGTAGACACAATCGCGGCAACATCTCGCGTTAAATTAATGTATAAATTTTTTAACTAACGTTATTTTTGAGCTTTACTCGACTAGTTAAGTGATATTACGACAAAATTTCGAGTAAATTCCGACATGAGAACCAATGAAAAAGATTGATTTCTATGAAATCTACCTAATTAATAATTGTCAACTTAAATTCAACAAAATATTACCAAAAAAAATTTTGTGCCGCTTGAGAATTAATTAAACTTTTCTTCTTTCATTTCAATAAAATTTAAATTAGGAGACATTTGATAATTTTTTAAAATTTTATTAGAAATAAATTTATTGTAAAAAAAAAAAAATAAAAAATTTGTCAGATATTTGTCAATTTCAGTATCATTCTTTAGAATAATAAATAGTTGATCTCCACTGGTTTATTATTAAATAAACAGTTTATTAGTTGAGAATAAAAAGTATTTTTATTGTACGTAAGTTAATTAAATCACTTAAATTCATTTCTTAAGAATTGAGATACTGAAGTACAAAAGTCAAGATCAAAAGTTACAGTAGAAAAAAGAAATAAATTCTAATTAATAATCTTTGAGATTAATTAAGATAAATATTTAAGTAATTACCAGTAGAATTATAAATTTGTTGTTGACTACCATTTTGATTGTGTTGAATCGTTGATTGACCATTAAGTATTGAGGATGGTCCACTTTTTAATGGGACGTTGCTAGCAATATTTTGTGGCTGATAGGTATTTTGTGACATTTCAAATCGCTGTCGCTTAGTCTCAATAAACGCTGAAATAAAAAATAAAAATATATTAAATACTGTGAAAGTTAAAACGTCATCACGTGTAAAAAAAATAATAATTGATTGACAAGTGTAAAAATAAAATTAGTTTTTTTAACAGTAACCTGAAAGTTAATAGTTGTAGAAAAAATAATTATTTATTAATAATCATAAACAGTTAAGTTACTCACTTTATTGTATTATAATTTATAAATATATCCTTCCTTTTGGTGTAACTTTAAATAATTACCAAGTAAATTAGTGCTAGGTTCGGACTTTAGTCATGGGTAGCATTGCTTCTAAGAAATGATTAACGTTTGGTGAATAATGATTAATTTTTTAGCGGATTTTATGGAAATAGATATGAGATTATTTTATTAATTGTTATAGCGCTGGCAACCTATAATATTCCACAGACAAACATAGACAGAGAAACACAGACATCAGTAGACAGCAAGACACTGGGATTGTTAAACGGCACGCAACATTACGTGGCAGCTCTAGTGTGACTAGAGCGCCGCCTACAACTCGTAGTGTTTATATTTGGAGTATTTTGTGTATCTTCATTGGTAATGTAGGCTTGAAAAGTTTTCTGAGGGATTCCGGGCGATAACGTAGTTTTGTTATGACAGAGGTAATTTTCTTTTAAAAGAAAAAATAATTTTTAATATTTTCTAAAAAATTCATGAAAATTAAGTTAGCCGACATTAAAAATTAAAAAGAATTTTTTTATTGAAAAAATGACTACAAAAAAAAAAAAGAAAAAAAAATTGTCATTTGTTAAAAACTTGAAAAACAATAAGTGCAATTTTTTAAAAATATTTTTTTGTTCTAATTTAATTATTAAAAAAAAATCAAAAAATTAAAAACGTCGGCTAACTTTAGTATCATAAAAAATTCATATTTATTTATGACATTTAACTATGTTTGAATTTTATTTAACAAATAAATTAGTTGTAGAAAATTACTTTTATAATTTTTTTTCTACAATTTCTAGATGTGAAATTTTATGAAAATTAAGTTTGCCGGCATCTAAAAATTTTTAGAATTTTTTTTTATTGAAAAAATCATTAAAAAAAATTTTCATTTGCAAAAAACTTGAAAAACTTTAAGTGCAATTTTTAAAAAATATTTTTTAGTTTTAATTTAATAAATGAAAAATAATCAAAAAATTATAAAAATGATCAAATGTCTCCTAATTTAATTATCATATTTAATTTAATAATAATACTTTTTTTTTCTTTTCAGCTAGGTACCTTGGGGCAAATTGAAGAAAAGTCTTTCTATAAAAGTTAATTATATTGACACCTATTTTTTTGTATGTACTAACGTGGATTTGCAATATTCACAAGTTTCAAAGAATTACCGCAAATATTAATAAAAAAATGGATTTATGATTTTGAAACCAAGAAAAATCTGAAAAATTCTGTTTTTAATATTTTCATGAAACTTTAAAATATTCTATTTTATAATAGAAAAAATAAAGATGATTTATAATTAGGGTAATTATTTAGATGGAGAGGTCCATTATTGTTTAGTCATAAAAATTCAATAAACTAAATGATACTGAAGTCAGCAAGTATCTGACAATTTTTTTAATTTTTATAATAAATCAATTGTCATTAAAAGAAATAGTTCTAAAAATTCGCACTCAGAATTTTTTAACCAAATTCTTTTCATGTGGCGGATTTATGAATATGATTTTAAAAATTGTGGAAAATATTTTTTTCAATTTGAAAGTCAAAAAATACATACTTTTTTTTTCATTTAAATTTTTTAGACATTATATAATTATAATTTTTAGAGTATATAACATAATTTTTTTTCTCTTGAAGCGCATGAAAACAACAAATTGAAATAAAAAAAAGTTATTTATGATTAAAATTTTTTTTATAAAATTTTTTGGAGAAAAATTAGTAAATTTTGACATTTGATCAACGATATGAACTAATGCGATAATTTTCAATATTTTTTTCATATTCTGCAAAAAAAAATAGAATAATTAAAAAAAAAAAAAATTAGTCAATTCATAAAATTTTTGAAATTACGCTCAACTTTATCAATTTTATAAAATGGTGGAAATTAAAAAACTTTAAACTTGCCAATAAAAATTATAAGAAATTTATATTATGCGTAGACTTATTATTAATAATTATCAATAATACGTCAATTAATAACTTACTACACGTTGATAATGTATCGGTATAAGTAAACTTTATTTACAATCGGAAAAAATTCTCACTTTATTTTCAACAACCAGGAATAAATCGACACTATTTTTTATATTATTTTCTTATTACCGATTACATTATTGACAAATCGTTGAATAAAAAACGTATTCTGTTTAAAAATACCGATGAGATCAATTATTTGTTTATTATAATCATCATTTGATAGTTTTCGAAAAAGAATTATTGTAAGCGCATCAGATCATGACAGAATATTTAGTTATTGTATTTAATAAACCAAGGTAAAATATGTGTAATTCATGTATCTAATAACAAACAGCTGATTACCTCGTGTTTGAAAGTACAAGTGAAAGAAGGTGGATATCTCAGGAAAAAGTAAAGAATAATAAAACAATAAAAAAATTATAGATAAGAAATTCTATTAAAATAACAGTCTACTGATGCTGGTGAAACTGAAACATCTGTTCCTTGTAGATTTTAATATTAAAAAAATAATATCATACGCAAGATTTTATTTATGAGTAAGTAATTTTTTTAATTTATATTTTTGAATTTTTCATTGATTTTATCCCTAAAATACAAATATTGTTTTTTATTTTCGAGTTTTTAATTAATAAGAAGAATATGATTGGTGAAAATTTATTTATTACATTGAAAATTCAGTAATTGGTTTAATTTTAAATTTTGAAAAGTTCAAAAAATAGATTTTTTGTTAAAACTTAATGACGAAGTCAGCAGACCATCAATTTCAATTTAAAAAAAAAAAATCATGATTTAATTTTTCTTATTCATAATTTTTCACTTTTAAAAATATATTTTTATAAATCATTATACAAATTTTATAAAAAAAAAAAAGTATAAAAAAATAGTCACATCAAAATTTTAATGGAAATTTGTAGTTTTTTTTTTTTCTAGAACTAAAGCTGTAAAATGTGCATTTTTTAATGAAACTGAAATCAGCAGCCACCTGATAATTTTTTTAATTTTTTTTACAACGGATCAATTTTTATAATAAATAAATTCAAAAATTTCACTTGTAAATATTAAAAAAAAAAAAGACAATATATTAAAAATATTTTCTTAGTGTTAATTCATTTTTCGAATAATTTTATCATTTTTAAACTATTTTTTTAGCACTTAATTCAAAATTTTTTCAATTTGTTGACAGTTTTTAAGAAATTTTTGAATTTCATTAAAAGTCATTAAAATAATTTTGAGCTAGCTTGTAAAAACATAAATATTAATTGAACTGTAAAAAATTTATTTTCCTATAAAATAACGTTTAATCAAAAATTTTTATTCATAGAATAAAAATAATTTATCTGACAATGATAAACAAAAATTAAAAAAGCCTAAATTACAAACAAACATAAGATGACAATCAAAAATTATCTCAAAGTAAAATAACGGAAAAATATGTAAAGAATCATATGTATATAAAAAAAATTACTAGTGTTTAAAAGTGAGGTCATACACCCACATCAGGTGTTCCTTACTCTTTACCCATACATTAACGCCTACTTTTTTTCTTCATTATAATTTTTTCCCTGCCACTGAGCAATCCACAACCGCGCATTCACGACACGACTCTTATTTTGAGTTCCCAGCGTTACCTTCTTCACAGTGAAGTTAATTCCATAGTCAAGTATCTATTTAACCGATTAATTTATATTTTTATTTCAGCTGTTCATAAACGTTGGCACAATCATGATAAATTTATCAAAAAAGAGTTATGTATCGTTCATTGTTGTTATTTATTTAATTACCAATGTGTGTGCTAGTGATATTTATAAAAACATAAATTTGCCGGCAAATCATTTGAAATATTACTTCAACTCACTTCCGATTATTGCACGGGAATGTCAACATGATCCGGCGTGTCCTTATAAGGTAATCACTTTTTTATTTTTTTGAGTAATCAATTCAAATTATTTATTTTTTACTACTAAAAGATGTAAATTACTTTTTTTATAATATTTAAGAAGAAATAATAATTGTTTTTCTTCTTTAAAGAAATTGTGAAACATTTTATGAAATAATTAAACATAATGAATATTTTAAAAGGGCAATTACCTTTCAAGGAGTGAAAAATCATAAAGTGTGAAATTTGTTATTTTTTTAATTAAAATGAAATAATTAGTTTAATTTGACTTTTGATTAGTGAAGTTTTATTTATTTAAAAAAATAAATATTAGAAATTCAAGTGATTGATTTTTGCTGAGTATTAAAAATAATTTATTGACTAATTAACATTAATTAGCAACCTGCAATCACTATTTGACTGTTGAAAACTAAAAATTATGAATAAGAAAAATTTGGCTGAATGAATTTTTGATATTTCTGCTTTTAATAATACTGCTGTGATAGGATCAATTGAAAAATAATTTAATAGACAAATGTGACAAGACAAATTTTATAGAACCAACAAACTATTCAAAACTCCTCCAAAACCAACGTAAAAAGTTGAATATTCTTGAAAAATATATAAAACCATGAAAAAGCACAAATTCTTATCAAAACCTTTTTGGTAATACATTTTGTAAATTCAATGATAAAAATCCTTTTCTAAAAAAATAATATGCTCGTCGCAAAATTATCTTTACTCTCTTAATTATTTAAATCATAAATGACTATCGCTGAAAAAAATATCAAAACCAATATACGAGAACGATATAAAAAAATCGTCTTAAAAGTGTCGTTTTTTTAAGTTCTTATATTAATTGTGACACAAACCAAGACTGTTTTAAGACGCCAAAAACAAATTTCGAGAGCAGATTTTTGAAATTTGGTTCTCAAATTTGTTATGAAAATTAATTTTTAGACGATTTTACGAGTTTTTAACCGCAAAATTTTTTAGTATGCTCTTTTCAAATTAAATTATTAATCGGAACATTAAAACGGAGCGTCTTGAAAAAGTCTTAAAATCGTCGGATAATAATTTTTCAACAACTTCAAATTCAATTTAAAAAGAGCGTACTCAAAAATGTTGCGGTAAAAAACTCACAAAATCATCTAAAAATTAATTTTTATAACAAATTTTAGAACCAAATTTAAACAATCTGCTCTCAGAATTTGTTCTTAACGTCTTAAAAGAGTCTTACAACAGTCTTGGTTTGTGTCACGTTTAAGATCTAAATACAAAACATTAAAAAGGTACAAATTGAGGTCAAGACCTTTCCGATTGGACTAAATTTAATTTAGAAAAATTATTTTATCATATAAATGCGCCGGAGACAAAATTTTCCCTATTCTTTTAATTATACACAGAAAAAAAAATTTACTTGGATCAAGTAAATAGTTTTGAAGAATTTCATATTTTTGAATTGAGTAGAAAAATTCTTAAACTAAAATTTTTCTCGTTCAAAGTAAATTTTACTTGATTCAAGAATTTTTCGTCTTGATCCAAGATAATGAAACTCTTGAAAAGTATTTTCTCGATTCAAGAATTTTTCTCTTGATTCAAGTAAATTTTTTTTCTGCGTATAGATAATCACACTCTATTTAACTTTTTTTTTTCAATTAATTATTAAAATAATTGATATATTTTTTAAAGGAACATTTAAATGAAAAAGCGTGTTGGGGATATGAAGATAATTGCAAGCAAGAAAATGCATTCTCAATTCCATATTGCCCAGGTGATCACAAAGGATGGGTGTCAAGTAAAAAAGCACAAATAGATACATTTTATTCGCAAGGAGATTTTGGATATGTCAGAGACCAACGAAATGAAATGACGCTACTGTGCGAGCCATTTTTCAAGGTTTAGTTTTAGTTTATTTATTAATTAAATTATCACCAACTGAAATTAACTAATTTAAATTAATTTTCTTTCAGGAGGATTCATCATTAGAATGTTCAGAACATTTAAGATTTTGCCGGGGAAGAAATATAATGATTAACTTCACGGATCTGACCTACAGAAAAGAGCCTATAAGATACGCGATGGATGTTTTGAAGGAAGGACAAATCGGTGGTTATTGCAAGTAATTATTTGGTATTCTATTAATTAAATAAATTTATTGACAGGTTGACATAAGTTTCTAATTAATAGATTGAACGAAAAAAAACTGCAAGAGAATGCGGATCATATTAGCGCTTTACAATCTTGGGGGCCGGAGCTGCGTTATTTTCGTAAATTACCACGTCGACCAATTGTCGAAGGTGACTGTGATATAGTTATTGAAAAGCCTACTTATATTATGAAGATTGATGCAAGTAAGTGTTTTATTTAGGTAATAATTTATAATTTATGATTAATCAATTAAAGAAGTCTTCTTAATTACTGATTGCACTTTTTATTGCAGCAGTCAATTTGTATCATCATTTCTGTGATTTTTTTAACCTTTATGCGTCGTTACATGTTAATAATACTCACCCATCGACTTTTAGTACTGATAATCATATTTTGATATGGGAAAGTTACAAGTAAGTCAATAATATTAGTTTTTGATTGTATGATTAGATTTAAGAAGAAATAGTTTGATCCAGTTTATTCATAAGATCAACTAACAATTAAATAGTTATCAAAAATTGACAAAACTAACAAAAAAATTTGGAAAATCCAAAAGTGCACGACTGATAATGCTCATTTAATTATGAAATAGTAATAAAATTAAGCGAATGTAAAAAAAATGTCAAACAGCTGAAATAGGATGATAATGCGCACGTGCCTCTAGTGGGATAAATGGACTCAATATATTATAGATATAGAGTCTTTCAAGTTTTTTTTAATTTTATTAATTGCAAATAAACGACTCGAAATAAGTTACCTAGCCATTCGTATTCGATGGTCTACAATTCTTTCAAAGAATTTTTCAAAAAAAAATTTGACAGCAAAATTTTTTAAACTATTTTAATGTTTTTTTTTTTTTTCATTTCTATTGCACTTAATAAATTTTTAAAAAGTATGAAATTAATCTCCATTAAATAATCTTGATCAAAGTATGCAAAATATCTTGATTCCGTGAATTAACAAGAGTTAATAGAGAATAATGAAAATAGTTGCCGAAATGAGGCGAAAAAAATTTTCCTTGATGTTTCGCATCATGAGTCGTGCAATATTTGAATTCACTGATAAAAAAATTAACTTGGTTAAAAAAAAAAAGATCTTGATCGAAGAATATTATTTTGAAGAATTTAATGATTTTAAATTAAGCGAAAAAATTCTTCTTAATTTGAGTACATTTGACTTAATTCAATGATTCCTGTGCTTCATTCAAAGCTAAGAAATTCTTCAAATTAATTTTTTTTTGTTAAAAAATTTTTCTCAGTTAATTATCCAGTGTATGGGTACTAGAAATTGTAAAATTATACAATATTGTTGTATCGCTACACATACATCAGTTAGATCTCGTCAATATTTGGATCTATTTTTATCTCATTGTTTGGATCCAATTATTTTCATTAAATTAAAAACGACAAATATTTTAAAATTTCAGTTATCATTCAGCGTTTCAAGATACTTTTGAAGCGTTTACCAAAAATTCTTTGTGGGATTTAAAAACGTTCCGTGGTAACACAGTTTGTTTCAAAAATTTGGTTTTGCCATTATTACCACGCATGATTTTTGGCCTTTTCTATAATACTCCTCTAGTAAGTATCTTTTTTTTTGTAAATAAATCAAAAAAATATAACTTAGATTAGCTTGATTAATCAATTTTTCTAGATCTACGGCTGTGAAAAAAGTGGATTATTTAAAGCATTTAGCGAATATATATTACACAGACTGAAAATTCCTATGTATCAACGTAAAGACAATAAAATTCGTGTTACTTTATTGAGTCGGGATACAAGATATAGAAGAATATTGAACGAAGATGAACTTGTAGCTGGGTTGAAAAAGAATTCTAATTACAAAGTTAAAAGAGTAAGTAGACTATCAAACTTTTTCTTCAATTATATATTGAGAGAAAACATTTTTTTTGAAAAAAATGGGCATTGTTAAGACTAGAAATAAAATTGTTTAAAATTTTCAACAAATTTTTTCAAAAGAAATTTTTTCTCAATGATATACTTAAATTCAACAATGTAAATTATTTGTTAAAATTTTATTGTTCCATCAGGTTATTTATAATCGAGAAGTACCTTTCAAAAAACAGCTGGAAATAACTCGTAATTCCGATGTCTTCATTGGAATTCATGGAGCTGGACTGACTCATGCGTTGTTTTTACCTGATTGGGCTGCAGTATTTGAAATGTAATTTTTTTTTTGTAAATTCCAACTTCTGACTTTTCTTCTTATAAAATAAAAAATATTTTTTTTAGATATAATTGTGAAGATGCTAGTTGTTACAAAGATTTGGCTCGGTTACGTGGAGTAAAATATTTCACTTGGGAAGACGATGAGAAATTGACGCAGCAAGATCCTGTAAGTATATCTTTTAAAAATTACTTCTGTACTTTTTAAACCTAACCTCAGTTTGAACAATGCAAAAAATAACTTAAATATAAAAAATTTAAAGTTACTTTAATTTATAAATTTACAGGGCAATCATCCAGATGGTGGAGCGCATGCAAAATTCACAAACTACAGCTTCAACGTAACAGAATTTCTGCGCATCGTATCCTTAGCCGCAGACTCAGTTACCAGTAATCCAGATTACAAAAAATTTCTCAGCTCCCAAACTTGCTTGAAGCCGCCAAAAGTGGAGTTATGACATTAGCTTTCCAAAATAAATAAATTAAAAACTAAAATAAGTAATTTAAAGTTACCTAATAACAAATATTCTCTTTATTTTTATACAAATACAGTCAATTTTTCACACAACACAATTTTCTTTTTTGTCAAACGTAATGTTTACAATTTCAATTTAATATTATAACGATAAAGTATAAAAACGCTAAAAATACAAATGGCGACATACGAGCAAATAAGAAATATCGCGTTGTACTCGTCGACATACAAAGTCTTAATTCTCAAATTAACAATCCCAGTTAATAAATTTGAGATTAAAAAGAAAATAAGTCCGTTATAATTAACAGCTTGGAAGATAGTCGGACATTTTAGGTTAATTTCTTCGCTAATATCTTTGTTAGAACAATCATTCATAAACTTATCATCAAATTTAACATTCTTTCTCTTCTTCTTAGCTGAATCTTTACTTTTATCAGCCTCCTTGCTGCTGTGAGTCACAGTAAAGATCAAAATATCAATCAGTATCTCAACAAGTAACAATAAAGTCAACAAAATGGTACTAAGCGTAACAACCCATGCGCAGTAGCCAAAATTGGCCATGCGTCGGGAAACTCCAAACAGCCAATTGTTCAAAATGGCCAATCCGCACGCCTGTGGCGCTATGATCGACAATTTAACACACAAAACCATCGCTTTTGTGTACTCAAACGATACTTTTCTTCCGAACAACATCATATTTACTCCAAATCGCTTCATGAGTCCATAATTGCCATTATTATCTTCACTATGATCATAAGTCGAGTAAATTAACCGTCCCAGCGCAATTCCAACTAGGTACAGGCCAACATAACCTGGCACTGATACAATACCTTCGCGATTAGCTGACACGAAATCATTCCGCGGAGTGTCGCCCAGCAACCATTCCTTCAAGCCTTTTGTGTTCAATGCGTACTCGTGCATTACCAGTATCCACAGACCAGATATCAACGCGAATCGCGAGCTAATGGCGCTCGTTATTGTGCTAATGAATATTTTAACAAACGCCAATGTTAAGAAAAAGTTCCAATGGACGCCGTATTCCGAAACATGCTTCTGGTAATCGGAATACTCGATTGCTAAAATACGCCCGATACCTAAAATTAGTAGTGGCGCTGTGTCCTTTGTACATTTCTTCGCATTTAGCGCAAACTTCCGGATTACTTTCAAATGTTTATTGCTATTGTTGCTGTTAGAAGTAAAGTCTTTTGTTTGAGGAGATACTATTGCATTGGCGATAATAAACATTCCTACGCCTGCGTCCATCAAACTATAGCCGTAAATTTCTGTTTTAGCGAATTTACGTGGAAAAATTTTAAAATCAACAGCTAAAATACAAATACAAGTTAATATATTTGTTAGCGCTCGAAAATTTGTGAGAAAATGTTTTCTTCCGCTGTTTTTACAATTGTTTAAATTATTATTAATATTTACAGACAATTTGTTACGAAATTTGTAAATTATTGAGTAATTAATCATAATTGTAATTATTATTACTAAAGTTATTATTAGCGTGTAGTCTGACAAAATTGTCAGGCTTAAAATGGATGGAATTATTGTGATAATAAATTCTACAATTGGTAAAAAATTACGAACTATTTTGTTATTTATTAACGTTTTGTTACTCAATACCGAGGTGATTGTTGATAAAAGAAGAATTGTCAATATACTTGGCAGAATAACGATTATTATTTCCTGCGGCGCGCTCCCGCCGAGATTTGAAATGAACTCCTGTTGCGCGCGCCGGTAGCGCTGCTCGTCTTCGTCGGTTATTGATCTCATTTTTTGTGCAGCCCAAGACACTGGTAGGTTAAGCTTGTTTTATTTTTTTAGTTTTTCTATCACTTAGTTTACGCACTTTTTTAATTATAAATCACAATTATTAATAAGATTCTATTCGCTGTCTTTTATAATTTTTTATTATTTTCCTAAAATTGTCAGTTATTTTTATGGAAAACACGACTAGCTAAAACGCGTGTTTACCTTTTGGCTTTGTTGATTGGTAACTGGCGCCGACAATTAGTTTTTTAAGAACTACTAGCTTTTGATTTGGGGATTTTTTGGATTACTTATTATACATTTTGGCGTATGAATACTAATCAAATTTTTTTGCAGGTTGAAGTTGGAACATTGATGGAAGAAATTGTGTTAGATTGCTGTTTTTGGATTTCTAAAGTAAAAAAATGGGAGAATTGATTGAAAAATTGAGACCACTGAGTTTAATAGATTATTTTGGGCACAAAAATGTCGTTGGCAAGGATACTTTGCTGGGAAAAATGCTGGAGAAGAAGGAAATTAGTAGCATGATTTTATGGGGACCAACTGGATGCGGAAAGGTAGTTTTAAATATTATCATCTATATACAATTTAAGAGAATAAGAAAAATTTTGTCTCCAGCGCATTTATATTCAGCAATAGTTAATTTATGATAGTAAGTTTTCGAAGTATTTCTGAATAGATTCGAATTTTGCTAGAAAGGTCATTTGTGATCGGCTGGGCAATGTGGAATTGAGAATCCATTTTTTTGCATGAAAATGAAGTTAGCTGACATTTCAAAATTTTTATAAATTTTTTATTGAAGAAATTTCAACTAAATAATTAAAAAAAAAATTTCACACGTAAAAAACTTGAAAAACTACTTTTAAAAAAAAAAATCAAAAATTTTTAGACGTCTGCTAACTTCAGTGTCATTTTTTTGCTTGCAATTATCTTGATATCCCCAACACGCTTTTTCATTTCAATGTTCCTTTAAAAAATATATTAATTATTTTATTAATTAATTAAAAAAAAAATTTTAATAGAGTGTGATTATCTATACACAGAAAAAAAAATTTACTTGAATCAAGATAAAAATTCTTGAATTGAGAAAATAATTTTGAAAAGTTTCATTATCTTGGATCAAAAAAAAAATTCTTGAATAAAGTAAAATTTACTTTGAACAAGAAAAATTTTTTAGTTTAAGAGAAAATAATTTTGAAAAGTTTCATTATCTTGGATCAAAAAAAAAATTCTTGAATAAAGTAAAATTTACTTTGAACAAGAAAAATTTTTTAGTTTAAGAATTTTTCTACTCAAATCAAAAACATGAGATTCTTCAAAACTATTTACTTCATTTAAGTAAATTTTTTTTTCTGTGTATAACTAAAAGAATAAGAAAAATTTTGTCTCCGGCGTATTCATGTGATAAAATGATTTTTCTAAATTAAATTTAGTCTAATTAGAAAAAGGTCTTAATCTGAATATGTGCCTTTTTAATGTTTCATATGCTTTTCAGCAATAGTTAATTTATGATAATAAGTTTTTGAAGTATTTCTGAATAGATTCGAATTTCGCTAGAAAGGTCATTTTTTAACTTACTTATTTGATTTTGTACATGTAAATGTGATTATATGTCAAAAATTTATTTGTCTAATTAAAAGACTAAGAAAAATTTTTCAAGGGATATATCTTTATTCTAAATTGGGTTTTATATTTTTTCAGCGATAATCATTTATGATTTAAATAATTGAGCGAGCAAGGAAAATTTTGTGACGAGCATATTATTTTTTTGAAAGAGATTTTTATCGTTAATTTTCGTATATCAGAAAAATTTTGATAAGAATTTGTGCCTCTTCACGGTTTTATATATAATATTATTCAGTTCAAGTCAATTTTTTATGTTAAATTTTTGGGGGAGTTTTGAATAGCTTGTTGGTTCTAAAAATTTGTCTCTCACATTTGTCTATTAAATTATCTGTAATTGATCTTGTCACAGCACTATTATTTTTAAAATTTATTTCAAAAGTACCCAACCTATGTATAGTGTTGATATAGAATTAGAAATATCGAAAATTAATTGAGCCAAATTTTTCTTATTCATAATTTTTAGTTCTCAACAGTCAAATAGCGATTGCGGGTTGCTATTTTAAGTTAATTAGTCAATAAATTATTTTTAATACTCAGCAAAAATCAATCACTTTAATTTCCAATATTTATTTTTTCAAATAATTAAATTTTCACTATATATCAAAAGTAAAATAATTAAACTAATTGTTTCATTTTAGTTGAAATTATTATTTCGAAAGAGATTTTTATAGTTAATTTTTGTATCACCAGAAAGGTCTTGATAGGAATTTGTGCTTTTTCACCGTTTTATTTCTATTTATTTATTTATTTATTTATCAAATTTATATGCCAAGGCTTAGCCGAATGGCGATAATACAAAATTTGAATACAATTACTGAGTAATAATTAAATAGTGTAATTGGTAATTAGGCAAATACATTATAGCACAATACAATACAATAAAATAAATAAGTAACATATGAATAAAATCAAATACAAATTTAAATTCGGGTTTGAATTTAAATTCAAATTTAAGTTCAAGGTTTTATCATTTATTTTTTTAAGTTTAAGGTTTTATATATTTTTCAAGGATAGTCAATTTTTTATGTTAATTTTTTGAAGGAGTTTTGAATAGTTTGTTGATTCTATAAATTTTGTCTCGTCACATTTGTCTATTAAATTATTTGTAATTGATCCAATGACAATACTACTATTTTTAAAATTTATTTCAAAAGTACCCAAACTATGTATAGTGTGATTAGAAATATCAAAAATTCATTCAGCCAAATTTTTCTTCTTCATTTCGTAAATCTCGGTAGTCGCATAGTGACTGCAGGTTGCTAGTTTATTATTCAATAATTATTGAATTTGAGCTGTAAAAGATCAAATCGTATAAAATTAGAAATGTTGTTTTGATTATCAATTACTTTATTTTCTTTATAACCCACAAAATTTATTTTACAGACTTCTTTGGCCAACATAATCGCCAACATGAACTCCAACAATTCATGTTTCATAAAACTATCAGCAACAGCATGCGGCATCGGTGACATCAGAAAGGCGTTAGAAACAGCGTCTGATGCCAAGAAAAAATCTACGTACTCTTCAAGTTCAATAATAGTCTTCATGGATGAAATCCATCGCTTCAATAAATTGCAACAAGACATTTTCTTGCCACACATCGAAGCCGGAACATTTACACTGATCGGAGCGACGACTGAGAATCCATCATTCAGCTTGAACTCAGCTTTAATGAGCCGCTGCCGGGTTTTTAAATTCGACAAATTAACATCCGATGACCTTCAAAGTATAATTTGTCGCTCGTTAGCGTTAATCAACAATAAAATCCACCTTGTAGATAATAAATTTACAGAGCGAACTGACATTGAATTTGACTGTTATCAACCAGAATATGCCATCAATGATCGTGCCTTGAAGTGGTTAGCAGAGATGTCTGATGGCGACGCAAGGATCGCTCTTAATACCGTGGAATTGATGGTCAAGTTATCTGAAGATACGGAGGCTCAGATTAATTTTTCTTTGCAGGATGTCAAGACGAACATCCAGAGAGCGTACTTGTTGTCCGTAAAAGAATGTGATCAGAACAAAGATTTGGTTTCAGCCATGCACAAGTCGATCAGAGCTGGCGATCTTAATGGTGCCTTGTATTGGCTTGCTAGATTGATGGCTGCTCGGGAAGATCCGGTTTTTATTGGCAAAAGATTGATTCGAATCGCTATTGAAGATATCGATATCTCCGATCCTCATGCTCTCGGTATGTTAATTAATTAATTAATGGTAATTTATTTATGAAATAAATTGAACAGTTGTTTGATAATTGATTAATAATTATTGTTATTTTGTAATATTTATTTTTGTACTCTTAATTTTAGATACCGCTGTACATACAATGAACGCTTGTCAAATGATTGGCATGCCAGAGTGTGATGTAATGTTGGGACAGTGTGTTGTTTATTTATGTAAAGCGAAGAAAATTAAATTTATCGAGAGGTTTGATAATGCCGAAGATTATGTTAGTGGTAATTAATTTTTAGAGATTGTATTTATTTCTTAAAAGAATTTTTATTGAGGACAGAAGGAAAGTTACGTATAAATTTTATCATGAATGAAAAATGACACAGAAATATAATGCAGAAGAGACAAGAAGAAATTTTGAATGCTTGTTTTTTTTTTTTTAATTTTTATACTTAAAAAATAGAATTTAATTTATTTAAAAATAATTTTGATAAGGAATAATTGTTACATTTTTTATAGAACAATTTGTTCTTAAGAAAAAATGAAAATGTATATAGTTTTATACTGGATATTCATTATTTTTTATAGTAAATTATTATGTAAAAATTAATACAATATATTTTTTTTAAGTTTTATACTGAAGAAAAATTTTTAAATGAAAAAAAATTATATTTTTAAATAAACGTCAATGTTTTGAAAATAAGAGTGATTTATTGAAACTTTCTTAAATAAGTTTTTTATTCATTTCAAAAATTTCGAGCCTACTTGTAAAAATTGATATAAATTTAATAAAATTTAGAGTTTTTTGATTTAATTGTTTATTTTTTTTTTTTTATAAAAAATTGTGATAGTAAAATATGAAGAAATTGACAAAAATGTTTTTTTTTTTTTTTTAAGAAAAAAATGAATTTAGAAATGAAAAAGAGAAATTTTTGATTTGATAAAAAATTTAACAATCAAAAAAGAAAAAAAAATATTTATTTTAGTCATTCAATTTTTACAAATAAAAATTTATTTAAGAATTTTTTGGTTTAATTAATTATCGGAAATTAATTTTAATAAAATTTTAAATTCATCGCGTTGAAATGGCGCATGCGCACGATACAAAAATTCCAATAGCGCTTTATTTAGAGGTAAAAGTCAATTTCTAACCAACCGCAACTTCCACTAGTCTAACAGAAAGCGACGAATCATAAAAGCGCTACACCGGAATTGTCAAGGTCAGATGCGCTGATTGGTCTTTCAGTTTGCCAAGAAGCAAATCACATGACAGTTTCAAGTGATTGCGAAAGTTTACCTATTACCTTTTACGTTCCAAGTCCAAGTCCAAGACTCCATGAAATTTATTTTTGCTCGTTCTCATTCACACACATGTCACATCGTGTTCTCATCACCTTTCATCCTTCACTTATAATATTCATTTTTTAATAATATAAATAGTACTAACAAAGTGTGTGTTGACTTATTAACAATAACTGTATTAATTTCTGTGTTTGATATTAATTTTTTTTAAACCATAATAATGAAGATCTGGACAATTGAACATACTTTCAAGTAAGTTTTTTATTTTATAGTGCATGCCTAACCTCGTTGGTTTATTAGTTCATTAAAATCCATTTATTTCAATTACAATTCATATATAAGAGTTCTTTTATTTTCTTTTATTTAATGTAATTTATCTTGTTTGTTGAACTTAATTTATTAATTTAAAAATTTATTTATTAATTTATGACACTGAAATCAGCAAACATCTGAAAATTTTTAATTTTATTTTAGAAATAAATTACTACTTAAAAAATACTTGATAAAAATAGATTTTTTTTTTTTTAATTATTTCCCAATAAAAAATTTGTTGACTAAATTTCTAAAAATTGTGAAATGTCTGCTAATTTCGATAAATTAATTTTCTAACATTGTAAATATTTTATTAATCATAAATCATAATTATAATAATATTTACTAAGAGTGATTAATCAATGTCTATTAATCATTTGTCAGATTTTAATTGTTTTGCTTATTTTTAGTCACCCATGGGAAACAGTTGTAGCAGCAGCGTTAAAAAAATACCCGAATCCTTTGAATGAAGCTGTTCTCGGGACCGATATTATTGATAGGAAAATCATCAATGGAACTCTATATACACACAGACTAGTTGTCAGTGAATTTAAATTTCCTAGAACTGCACAAGCGGTAAGTTTTTTTTATGGTTCTGAAGGTAACAATGTCTTTAACAATTTTTTTTAAACATTTCAATTAATAAAAAATTATCAAAGTGAATTTAACATTGGCTAGTAGAAAATACAAAAAAAATTTTTTGTTAATTTTGTAACATTTTAGCATATAAACATATGGTGAAATTAAGTATCAAGTCCATGAAATTAATTTATAATTCATGCGTAGTAGTATTATGATATTGCCTGGTAAGTTTTAAAAGTTTTTGTTGAATTTAATAATTTTTTTATATAATTGAAAAGTTTGGCAAATCCAAAAGTGCTCGACTCATAATGCTCATTCGTTGGATAAATAAAAAAAAATAGTTAATGTTTGGAAAAAAAAAATTTTTTTTTTATTTTATTTTAAATATTACTTCACTTTTTAGGTAGATTTCTTTAGAAATCTATCTATTGTAGCCGGTCTCATATCGTAATTTTTATAAAATTTTGTCATAATATGTTTCATTTCATCGAGTAATGTCGAAAAATGGCATTGGCTCAAAAGTTTATATATGTATTTATGTATGTATATATATATATAT